ACATTGCAGATTGTTGGAGCGATGTGGAGAAAGAAAAAGACTACAGGCGGCTTTCCTGGATGCAGATCTTACGACAAGGTGCACTATAACGTCATATGGTGGACACTGCAAAAGCACATAATTCCAGAAGTATTTATCCAATTTATAGAGGTGATCTATTAAAGAGCCATGAGTCAAGATAGAACAGCGGCAGCAGTTGAAGGTAGTCGGCTTATAGGTTGGCTGTATCAGGAGTCAGTGCTCTCTCCCCTGCCCTTCATCGCATTATGGAAAAGGTCTCAGCGATGGCCTCCAGGAAAAATGGAAGAACCAAGCAAGTTTACAGGGATTGAAGTTCAACACAATGAAGACATATGGAAATGGAAGGTTACACATCAGAAAGTATACATCGATAATGAGCCAATCAAGAAGACGAGTATGATCAAGTACCTAGGAGCTCGCATGCCTTACGAAGGAGAATTCAGGATGAGATGTAGATCAGGACAAACACAGCCTGGATGAAATGGAGAATTTTACAGGAGTTCTACGTAGCAAGCGAATGCTAGTGCAAATCAATCGCACATGTACCATATTGTGATCCGTCCAGCAGTGCGGAATGGCACTAAATGTTGGCCAAGTACCTGAAATGAAGAAAACAGCTTAGTGTTAAGGAGATAATAATGTCGCGGGGACGTTAGGTATCTCTGCTTGATCATGTCTATAATGAGACAGTTCGATGTAGGATGAATTGACCCATCGCCGAGAAGATGCAGGAAATGAGATCAACATTACAAGAATCTCCAGAGGTAGCGGAAAATGACTACGAAAAAGGCAAAGAGGTAGATGGTCTAAATCAGAGCCGATTTGTGAAAGTATGAGATGAGCATCACTGTAAGTCCGTAAGCGAGTTCCCAAAATAGCTAATTGTTCCTCCTCTTCTCACTATGAAAAACGACCAGAGCAATAGTCCATCAAGCTTTCTTTGAGGGAGCGTAGCATATACAATGACAAGCCTTAGGGAATCAAATACCACTGCTAAAATACTGAAGATACTCAGATGGCCTGTCTTCACTCTACGTGCAGGCCCCAGCATTTTTTCATCTGTTTCTCTCTCTTGCTAGTGTCATTTGCGATATTAATATGAACTGCGCCAGCGACGTTCGCGAGATCCGGATCCATTCATCGTTTTCAACTGATCAGGTGGTGGAATGCAGCAAATAAAGCCCAACTGTTCGGTGGTCTGGTCCCTAAAGAACGTTTTGTTTCGCGAGAACCCATTGCTTAGTTTTTAGTGTCCATATGTCGTCTATCCTCCTCATATAACCAGCCCCACGATGTTTGGCTTTAGAGAGGTATACCGCTAAATCGCGAAGACAGATTGATCTCATTTGGTTGCAGAGTCCGACGAGATGTTGAGCGTTTATGAACTGAGTCTTCCAATTCCGCAGTACCATCCTCTTTTCTAGTACATCTTTAACACCGTTCCCTTCGATGCTCCCCAAAAAGAGAATAGTGTTGTCTGCAAAACGTAGGTTCGAGAGAAATCCCCATTAATTCTACACACTTCAATCTAGTTTCATTATCCACTGTAAGACAGTAGCAAACGGCTTTGGCGACACGGTGTCGCCTTGTCGAGCCACTATCGAAATTGGTATGTTAGTGGGCGACGGAGAAGCTGTACTTTGTAGAGCAGCAGTTCTTGTAGCAGTCAGCCAATGCCCTCACATAAGACGGACACGCCTCTTAGTCGACAAGCGCTGACTGCATGGCATTAGTCTTGACTCCGTCAAGTGTTTTCCACAATCGACGAAGATCAGAGGAGAGGTATGCGATTCTCTCGGCAAATCTCGATAATCCTCGAAGTGTTTGGATGTGATTTAAGCAGTTAAATTCCTTGTGAAATCTAGCTTGTTCTTCAGTTTGAGCTTCATCCAGTGTCCTTAATATGCGAGTGAGAATAATCTTCGTAAAGAGCTTGTAGAGCACGCTTACCAGGCATATTGGACG